TGTTTGTTTTTGTTTTTTTTTTTTTTTTTTTTTTTTTTTACTGATAGCTCTAGCCTGCATGATTAAAATTTGTGGATGGTCAATTTCAGATTCATATTGCTCCGTGGTTCATCAGGCTTCTACTCTTATGGAATTTATGAGCACTTAAATGGATGGCCAGATTTTGATCTTGGTGAAACAAGGATCACTTTCAAGCTTAGAAAAGACAAGTAAAAATTCTATCATTTTGACAAAATAAGTTTGATGCCTCTCTTTACATTTCTCATTCCTTTGTACTTTATTTATTATATATATATATATATATTATATTTAACGAGACATTGTAAAACTTATAATGGTGAAAATGTGTAACCAAATAGTTTTCTAGCATTTTCATTTAATTTTGTGATTCCAAATATCAATTAATTTCACAATATTGCTATATTATAAAGATTAAATTTAGGCAGGCATTCTCTTTCTACATCCTTTGGTAATGTGGCATTCAAAATATTAGTTGAGATGGTCATGAACTTATGGCAGATACCAAGCAACTCGTATTTATTTTTGGATTTTTCATCCACTTTAACAATCAAGTATGTAGGTTTCAATACATGGCTATGGCAGACAATAGAAGAAGGGTTTTGCCTTATCCAGAAGATCGGATGCCAGGAAGATGCCAAACCTTGGCCTACCCAGAAGCTGTCCTACTAGTCAATCCCAAGGATCCGCAATTGAAAGGAGAGGTATTTGTTGCAAATATTTCCAGACACAATAATCTTGTCAAAGGTTCCGATTGTATTTTTCCGTAGTAGCTTGTTACTTTATCAAATGGCTTGATAGTCAGTTCTACACTGAATTCATTCACACCTGTATGACAGTTTAGATTTTGCCCCTACTTGCATCATTAAATTTTATTTTACATTATGGTTAAATTTAATCTGCCCCATGGAGTTTGGGGAGTATCCCTTTGCCACCATGTGGTTTAAACTTTGTCACTTTGCCCCCTCGTACTTACATTAACATATTTGTTATCTGCTTGTGCCTTTTTTGGCTGTCAATTATGAAAAGCTTATTCATGCTATAATCTACTAAACCAGCAGATTTACATGCAAGACGTGTGTTCCTAACTTTTGACAAGGAGAACATTGTTTCTAGGAGAATATAAAAATCTTCAATTGATTTTTTGTTAACTTACATCAGTTGAAGTTATGGTTTTGTATTTTATCTGAATGCCAGTGGCAAAATGTAATTAAAGCTAACAATTAGGGAGGAGGAGGGAGGAACCAAATCAAATTCAGACCCTTTAAAATATTTTTATATATACTTCTACTAGTTTGATGTGACATAAAGCAATTTTACTTCACTATCCAGAACAAACACATTCTTATAAAACTACTTTTGGCAAAACATTTCCTATTCCAAAATAAATTTTTTCAAAACTAATCTAAATTACATTATATTTAAAACCAATTAGTCAAAGTCCAAACACACGTAGTAGTTGGTTAATCTGGCAAGTTTTGAGTGTCCACTAATTCATGTGGTTTGTTTAAGAGGAGATAGGATAATTTCCTTTGCATGTATTATGTATGAACTATTCCACTGTGTTTTATTCACAGGTGGATGACAAGTATCAGTAT